ACCTTAAAAGCTTTAGGTACATATCCCTGTAACAGAGATACATTAATCACATCTGAAATGGAGGAGGAGATAAAAGGGAATACCTCCTTAAATAACCTGGTTGGAACTGGATCTAACATACAAGTTTAAGGCTTAGATGAAGACAATTATTTTGCTAACTCTGAAAATTCAACTGGATCTAAGCAGTCTATACCCAGTTCAGATTCCATGACTACCTCAGATACAATCGCAGATAGAGGAGTGCTAATGATCTTATTTTTAAAAAGATAAATCTTATTTATAAAGAATCCCATAAAATCATTACTTCTAAGAGTAGGTGGAATGGACGGTTCAACTAAGCTACAGTATGGCTCTGGGTGAGTTTGGCAACTGTATTAAAAAGAAATCCAGGATTATTCTTATTCTCTATTAATGAGGAGAGATATGCTGCTCTTGCTTTACAAAGGGTCCTCTTATACAGCAGTAAACTTTTTTTCCAGACTAGGTAGGATTCCCGTAGGCCTGTGGAGCAATATTTTCTCTCCAGTTTCCTAGCATTTTGCTTCAAAGTGTGCTGCTCTGCATTAAACCAAGGTGCAAGCTTTCTATTTTTAACGGTTTTCATTTTCAAAGGAGCTGCGTTGTCTAAGGCAGTACGCAGAGAACTAGCAACCTCATCAACAAAATCATCAACCTGTGAAGGGGAATAAACTAATATTTTGCACTCTGCAGCACTGCTCAGCAACACCAATGAGAGAGAAAGTGAAGCAGATTCTTTAAAATGTAGAACTGCACTATCTGATAATGATCTACTAAAATTGAACCTTCTTTTTGGGGAGGAGAACTCTATTAAAGTAATCCTGAAGGTTATTAGAAAGTGGTCAGAGAGGACAGGGTTGTGAGGGAATACTGTTATTTCTTCACATTCTATGCCATATGTCAGCACAAGATCCAAAGTATGAAGATGAGAATGTGTGGGACTATTCACATTTTGAACAAAGCCAATAGTGTCTAAGATAGCATTAAAGGCTAAAAGATGAACCACCCGCCACAAAAGCTAAGAGTAAGGCCAATATGATCCAAAACATTATCTATATATTGTTGAACCATACTTGAACCTGAAATATCCTCCTTATTTTTCTTTTAAAACAGCAAATTTAAATCCATGTCAATAGCAGGTAAAGGAGATGGATGAGGCAATGATCTAATAACTGTTTTACTGAAGTTTATTTGAGATAATTTATGATATTTTATAGTACTATCTTCTGTCCATCAAATGGTTAGGAGTGTTGACCAAATAACTGTAAGAGTTGTTTGATTTTCCTGATTGTGTTTTTATTTTATTTTTTTCATTTAACAGAATGTAGTATTTGGAACGAATGCTTACGTATTGATGAACTGCAAAACATATGAACCTGAAAGGGAGAAATTGAGAAGAGTAGTTGAAAGGACAGGCCAAGAATGGAGTCTTAAAGGATTATTGGGAAATAAAAGAAATATAAAGGATATTTATAGATTAAGGAAAGCATTATTTAGTTATCTTCAGAATACAAAATAAAAAAATAGAATTTAATAGATGTAAAACAATGTTGCTACACACCCATGAACAGTAGGTGGCGGTAGGCACCTTAAAGATCCGCCATGATAGAAAAGAAGATGAAAAAGAAGAAGAAGGAACGAATGCTTTCATTGGATGAAAAGAAGCTGAGCGTGATTGGCTGATGGTATGGTTCATTTACATACATTGCTGAAGTTGCGAGCGGAGAAACAGCCGAACGCACAGCTGGTGTTGAGCGCAGAGAGAGCAGGTCGAGCGCGAGCAGAGACGGATTCGGGCATGCGCAGAGATGAAACTGAGCGCGAGAACAGTGTGTTGAGAGGGTTTTTCAGAGTTGAGCGCGCGCCTGTTGTCTCAATGCGCGCTCGGATTGGTTCCTGCGTGCTCAAACCGATAGCACAAATATCTCTCCATATGAGTGGGGAAAACCGGTTAGAAACGTGAACGGGTTGGTGGTTACCAGTGGGTAGAGATCCACGACTATGCTTTCTACATACAGTTACCCAATCACCTGGCTGCTCAGACACTTTTGGAGGACAGCTACGTGGGGGGCCTACTTTAACTCCTGCCTGAAGCCTGGATTCTAACTCTGACACCCTTGCCACCAAAGCTACAAAAATACTACACTTATTACACATACCATTATCACTAAAGGAGGCAGAGGAATAACTGAACATCTGACACAGAGAGCAGGAGAGAGGAGAGGAAGAAGGAAGAGTTGGAAAAGAGTCAAGGGAGGGAGAGAGAGAAAAGCCATAGCAATGCTAAGCTAGTGCTAGCCTAGGCTAGCTACTCCTTATTACCAGAAATAAAACCGTTGAAAACTGACAAGTGCTCCGTAGAAAAGTGCAGCAGAATGTGCTATGTTTAAAAGTAGTTCTGGTCAGTAAGAGTTACTTAGATACAGAGATATCACAGAAAAAATAACTTCAGCTAGAGATCGTCTGGACAGCTAAAACACTCAGTTAATCCCAGAGGGAGAGAAACTACTAAGGAAGGAAAGTTGAGCGATAGGACAAATAAATAAGATGGTGGGTCAGAGAGGATGGCAAGAGAAGGTGGACACAAGAAAGAACTAGAAGCTCTACAGTGGATCTATTTTGGCACATCATTTGCATTGCTCTTTCCTCCAGCCTCCTTCCTCTGTCTCTTATAATCACACTCCATCTTTCATGCCTCCTCCTCTCTATGTTTATTAGTCGTCTATCTGATACAGGCTTGCAGATGGAGGAAAACTTAGCGGTGTAATTTATTCTGCTGTTTCTGCATGTGTTCACTCCTTCTCTGTGCTGACATCCGTTTGTCAGACACCTCTTCATCTTCAGAATTAATCCATTTGCCCATGAATCGTTCCATTCCAGTGTCTCTTTATGGGGAAGAGATTGCCGTTTGGCAACACATGCTGAAGGATGAAATGAGTGCTGGTGTTGTGATGACTCAGTGGGTTCAGGGATGTTCATGCAACATCAAATCTGACTCAAAACTTCCTCTCTGTCTTGTTGCCCTCCTTTGCCCTGCTTCTGCATAAATGCTCGAATAAAAAAGGTTCCAGAAACTTGAAAAAGATGTGGTTTGATTTCAGTAAAGCTTTGGCTGTAATTATTATATGTTTTGGTTTTACTTTCTAGAGTTGCTATCCTTTCATTGTTGCAAGGAAATGTTTTATTTCTTTTCCAATGGTATTTCTTTTTCCTTTATTGCTTTTTAATTTTATCTACTTTTTGCTCTAAAATTGTTACTATGTCCTTAAGAAAAGCAAAATGCTTGTTTTTTTGTAGAGGTAGCTTGCACTGTAATAATGTTAATTCAACCAGGAATGGCCAAGCTTTTAACATATTGATGTTGGAAGTTGGTAAACTCTAGATTAACACTTTTTTTTTGTTTCTTTAAAAAAAAAAAAATATATATATATATATATATATATATATATATTGGAATGTAATGTATGTAGTTCTAAACCAGTTCGAGTGTTAAAAAGTTCAAGTTTAAATTCAGTCCAAGGATAAAAAAGTTCCAGTGTTAAACCAGTCATAGGGTTATATTATATCCTGTGTTTAACTAGTTCCAAAGATAAACCATTTACAGCGGAAGTTCTAGTCTTAAACAAGCTCAGATGTAAACACAATTTGTGGGCTGAACCAGTTCCAGATTTAAACCTTCTACTGTTTAGCCAGTTCCAGGGTTCTTTTTCTCTCAACTTGTCGACCAATGACTTTAGCACCAAGAGGTTCTGTGTGCATATTTATTTCTTTTAGTTTCCAGAATTGTTCTTTTTAGATTTTAGCCCTTGCTCTCTGTAACAGTCTATGTTTGTTTCTGTATATTTGCGCTTACTTTACATTGAAACTTGTAGTGGGGAAAAAAGGCTTTAATTTCGACAGCAGAGGACAATGATTAATGAGCTGGACTTTAAGTTATATCTCCTCCCATTTTTTCAACACTGTTGCCTTATGCTTTTTGCACATAATTAACCTGTGTCACCTCTGTTCTGGTTTCAGGTGTCAGGAGGAATTGCTCTGACTGCTAGATGACAGACAGGTAAGCCATATACGTTTAAATGGAGCAGCCTGGCTGTAGTACCCAATTGACAGAATAATGGGGGCTTTGTTGCAGCAGTTTGTCTCAGGATCAGAACTACTTAGATGTTAGGACTAAGACATAACTCTAAAGCTCTACCCTATTTTACATGGTCAGCGGAGGCAAAATCTATATAAGTGTATAAATTAAGCCTAAATAGATGGTTCTATATGTAGAGAGAGAAAGCTAAAGGCGTGATATTTTAATATGTTGGCATAGCATCTCTAACATATGCTTTACTCTGTACCAACACTAACACATTGTCCAACATGTGATAACATTTACACCTGTCAATAAAACATCTTGTATCACTTTAGATCCACCATGTTTGGTTCTAAAACAATCAGACTGCTGCCATTTACCATCTTATCAGGGATTTAGGTCGCACAGAAAAAATGTATGCAGGTTAAACCCTGACATTTACTACAGACTTGAAGCAATTTTAAAAGCTGGCTCAATATGTTAATGCATTTGTGGGAATTTTGTACTTTCTGCAAACAGAATAAATTGGAGGATAATTGAGAACTTAGACCAAAAACTTCTGGAGGCCTTACTACTTTTTTTTTTTTTTTTTGGTACACCTCAGGTGCGTCACATTTAGCTTTATTGACCAGGTTTAGCAGGAAGAACTTACCCTTCTTTCAATAAGATAAAGACCCTTTGGACCTTTTAGAATATTGGATCTAGCTAAATTGGTTTCTAAATTGGTCTCACGTCTTACGGTTCAGGGAAAGTCCATAATGAGTTCAAAATTGTGGTCCCAGTTGTTGTTGTTGATAACTTTAACAGTTAGAAAAGAATAGAAATTACCTTTATTGTCCCTCAGTTTTGCATTGTATGTCATTCAGGGGTACTTGTAACACAGGTATGATGCAAACTTCAACAGGTTTTTAGGTACGTGACAAAAAGTTTCTTTTTTTAAAAGTTTGTCTTATGCATTCAGTGCACATAGACGTATGCTTAAAATGTTTTCTTTGTTAGATTAATGACTATGGCTTGTAGCCTAGTTGATAAAAAAAAAAAAAAAAATCAGTGTCCTGTAAAATGTGACTTTTCTTGAATAGTGAAATATTGGAAACTCGTAGTGTTAGAGCCTAACTCCACAACTGAAACGTTTTAGGTTTGAGGTTGCAAAGAACATTTGCTACACATTTCTCTGGCTGTTTTTTTTTTACATTTATTTTCTGTTTATAAAACCTGTTCCTTCTGTTGTAATTCTGGTC